ACTTCCACGTCCTCATCTTCAATTTCTGCCTTTTCTAGTTCTCGAATGTTGCAGGTGGATTTCATTACTGCCATGGAGCAATTCTTTGCCTGCAGTTGATCTCCTCTGACTTCTTCAACCCCATGCTCTGTTGGGAACCGCAGTAGTTGATGCAATGTTGAGGGAACTACCTCCATTGCATGCAACCATGGCCTTCCCAAGATGATGTTGTATGGCGAAGGTGTGTAAATCACCATGAATTCTGTCATGATCTTCTTAGTGCCAGCTTGCACTTCCAAGCTTGTTGCGCCTAGTGGCCACGTCAGTGTTCCATTAAAGCCGACCATCGGGCCATTGGATTGCTCTAAGTCATCAGGATGAAGACCCAGCTCTTTGTAACATCTAACATACATGATGTCGCTAGAGCTGCCTTGATCAATCAGGATGCGTGTCACTTGGCACTCCCCAACCTGGAGGGATACTACCAAGGTATCATTATGTGAATGCTGGACCATCTCTAGGTCGGCTTCAGTAAAGGCTATCGTCGGTCCCTGGCATCCTTCAGGCCGAGGTCTTTTATATCCAACCTGGTTCACGTAGGTGTTTTACCTTCTGGGTCTCCCCTCTTATGTCGTTTTCGTTCACCTTTGAGTGAATTACATTAACCACCCGTGGTCCTCCTGCGGGTGGTTGCTGTGCTGGGGGAGGCGGAGCTGCTGGTGCTTGAGGCAATCTTGCCTGTTCTTCTCTAATCCTGGCCTCATCAACAAGGTCCCTTAGATGTCCTTGCCTTACCATGTCTTCTAAGTGTGCTTTTAGGGCTCTGCAGCCCTGAGTTGAGTGCCCTTTTTCATTGTGGTAAGCACAACAACGCCTACCGACGTTTCTTTCCATGAATTCCCCTAGTGTTCTTGTCGGTCCTCTAAAATAAGGTTGGTTTCGTATTTGATCCAAGACTTTGTGGATCGGGACTCGGAATATAGTCGTTACTGCCTGTTTAGCCCTCAATTCCGTTTCTTGTTTGGTCGGTCCATTATTACCTCGGCTTTGCTTCGGCGAGCTGTTTCATTTCTCCTGCTTTGTTTCTTTATTTCCTGACGCATCCTCCTCGGCCCTAGCGTACTTCTCGATTCTCGCCATGAGTTCTTCCATGCTTTTTGGCAATGTCTTTGCCAAAGACTTCCGTAGTGGGTAGTCATCTTTCAAGCCGTTCTTGAAAGATACGACTGCTATCTCTTGGTTACATTCAGGTATTCGATTGAACACCTCGTAGTACCTTTTTGCGTAGGCCCTAAGGCCTTCGTCCTTGGTGATTTTTAAAGCCATCAGTGCGTCGACCCTCAAGGGCTGTAGTTTATTTGTCACAAACCTGGCCACAAACATCTCGGCTAGGCCTTCCCAAGTCTTTACGCTTCCTTTCGGTAGTTTATGGAACCAATCTGATGCAATTTTCCTGAAGGATGAGGGGAATACTTTGCAGAGCAACGGCTCATTCCCACTATATTATAGAACCAATCTGATGCAATTTCCCCCAAGGACGAGGGGAATACTTTGCAGAGCAACGGCTCGCTCCCACTATATAACGCCATTGAATTCAGGGATAGTCCAACGTGAAAGTTGGGATCTGACTTACCATCATATATTTGGAACCTTGGCATATTGAATCTCTTTGGTGCTTCAAATTTGTCCAGTTCCACCGAGAATGGTGTCTTCGACTTAACCGGGGAAGTTACCTCGGCTTCAGCATTCTGTTGTTTCCTCTTGAGGTAATCTCTCAAGTCTTCTTTACTTCTCCCTGGAGCTTGGCTATCTTTGGACGTCAATCTTTTCGGCACACTACTTTAAACCTCGTGGTGGGCTCGTTTTGATCTCTCTCCATGTGTTGTGTCAAAGCAGAGCGCCTGCCCTTGAACATGCCGATGTTCTTTGGGTCCCTGGTCCTTCGTGTGATACGTTCTTCGTGACTCCTCTCGTCTCAGCTCCTCTCGTCCGACTTCCCTAGAAGGTTGGTGACAGTGTTTTCCGTTCCTGGTGTGCTGAGGGACTTCGGGAATTGTTCTTCTTCCTCTCTTCTGGGTGTTAGTTGCTAGCATCGGCGTATCCTGCAGCGGGTATGGTGGCTGCATGACATTGTTTTGCATCATGAAGTTGACGACCGACTGTAGGTCTGGCAACTTGTTTGCCAATTCTTTTACTTCCTCATCCCTCCGTAGGCACCTATCCCTCCATACCTGAAGGTTATCTTCGTTATAGTACTTGCCTTGGTCTATCCTCTTCGCAGTGTCGCCCTCATGGCCGATGTCTTTCTCTCCGTGGCTCTGGTCATGAGTTTCTGCATTGTGGTTGTCTCCTTCAACGTTAAGTTCAATTGGTCTGCCACTCCCAGCAGGAGTGTCGCCCCCAATGTTTTCCTTCTGTCCGTTACTGGCCATTTATTCTTCTACGTTCCCACAGACGGCGCCAAATTGTGTGAGTGATTTTCTGACCACACTGCCCGCCTAGTATTCAGCTGGAAAAGCACTGGAAGAATAGATGACCTCTAGCTAACCTGTAACAGAAAGAGAAGTCTCCGGAGGTGGTTCAACCACCCGGGGACACTCCGATGATCAAGTCAGTATATCTCTCAAAGATAAATCAAGTGCTAAAAAAGCATACCATAGACCCATGGGGGTGCCTCTCTTTTATAGCCAACATAAACCTAGTCCCAATAGAAGCCTAACTTCTATGGACTCAGGATTACTACTAATCTTGGACTCCCAGTAAGATTAGGATAAACTTTCTAAGAGTCTTATCTTAATACAAACGGAAGTCTTCTCTCATTCTAGGACTCTTGTCCCTCATCCAGGTTGAGTTCCCTTTTCATTCTAGGACTCTTGCCCCTTATCCATTTATCTCGAATTCCGATATCTTCGGAGATAACCTCGGCCTTGCCGATATAACCTCGGCGTCAAAACCAGGACACGTGGTACCTCGGCCGATACGTCGGCGTCATCTTGCCACGTGTTGGTATTCAGAAAATACATCCTCACAAAAAATATTATGTAAATTAATATTATATATCACGCAATAGCTTAATATTGATTATATTATTTTTCAATCCGTCAATCCGTTCAAAATCGCTCAAACTGCAATTTATCAATCCACCCATCTACCATTCGATTTATAATTTTATTCTCAAATCATACGTATCACACCGCGCACACCCCTATCTCGGAGGATGACTTAAAAAGGTGAAAAAAGTTAATGAGTAATCCTCAATATCAATACTAAATTCCCGAACCGTTTTCTTAAATTAAAAGCACATATCACTAGGGTTTGGTTTGGAGGCTGGTTTGGGTGCTTTTCTAGGAGAGATTTGGGGTTGGGTTGGGTTGGTTTCGTCGTCTTCTTCTTTCTTCTTTTTTTAATTTTCATGGGTTTTTGGGAGTGAAGAAGTGGACGAAGTAGAGGGGTCACTCTGCTTCATTTGGAGTTTGACTCACTTAATTGCTGAAGCTCCCTCCAGCCGAAAATTATCGGTTGTGCAACTCTTAACGAGTTGGGCTTCGCAGGATACACTGAGACGTGAAATCATCTTTGATCTTACAGCTTAGCTTTATATTATAGAATGGTCAATAAGAATGTGTTTTCCCATTTAAATTTATAATTACAGATAGCTTTGGATTGGTTGCAACTTGCAAAGCAAAAGCTTTCTGGGTTCTTCTCCATATCATTCACATCTAAGTTTAATGAGTCGATTATATTTATTTTGATTGTTACTTTTAAATTTTATAAATGGACTAAATGAATGAAGTATCAGGGGTACTGAATCACCAGAACTTCAATGAACAAAGAGTACATTACAATTCAAGATTCAATCACCAATAATTATACAAACACAGAATCAATCACAAAGACCAACGTGTGACAACCTCTGTCAATCGCCCACTTCCTAATATGTATGTGATAGTGATACTATTTATTTAATGTGCAATCCTGTGGCCAATAAAATTTATTCTTTAAACAACCTTTTCACATTACAATTCCGTGAAATTCAGTGAAATTGATACCGACATTTGAAAATATCAAAAAATCAAAACCCAACACAGGTCCTTCAAACTTCACCAGTTTGCAATGTTCCAAGCATGTAGTGAACAACAAAAATAATTAATCTAAAATTAGAGATTCAGTACAAAAACAACAAAAACAACCTAACTTTTACCAGGAAATGGGAGTTTAGTCCCTAACAAGAAACCAAAACTTCCCCGCCTGCAATTTCTTCCGCCATTCAAAGCTTGTTTTTGTACCAGAAAACACCTTTGGTTTGGTCACTTTCGTCATTCTCAACATAAATGCACTCCTTTGCTTCCCTCCATATTGCCCTCAAAACCGGAGTCCCATCACACTGATAATAATCTCCCAAAATCGGCTTTATTGCTTTTGTGGCTTCCATTGCATGGTAATGTGGCATTGTTGAGAACAAATGGTGGGCTACATGAGTATCAGTGATATTATGGAATACCTTGTTTAGAATTCCATAATCTCTGTCACATGTGGCTAGAGCTCCTCTCAACCAGTCCCACTCAGATGAATCGTAGTGTGGCAATGCAGGGTGAGTGTGCTGCAGCCACGTGATCAGCACAAGAAACCCATTCACGATGAGAAGAGGACCGCCATAAAGACAGAGTACCCAAGCTAGTCCTTTTACTAGTGCAAACCGATAAAGCACATAACTAACTCCAAGAACACCAGCATCAGAGAGGTAGATTTGAAGGCGCTCGCGATCTGAGTAAATAGGGCCATAAGGGTCATAGTGGCATGCAAAACGATCATAATGTCGGCCTGAAACGTTGAACATTAGGTATAGCGGCCAGCCTAGAGTCAGTGTGATGATGACTGTGAGAATTCGGCCAGGTGGGTTGTTAAGATATTTGGAATACCATCCAATGCTGGACTTGAGTTTGGGAACAAACACCTCATCGCGCTCTAGAGAAGCTGTGTTGGAATGGTGGCGGCGATGGCTGTATTTCCAAGAGAAGTAAGGAACAAGGAGAGCAGAGTGAAGGACGAGACCGACTGTGTCATCAAGCCATTGGTAGTCACTGAAGGCATGATGGCCACACTCATGGGCTACGACCCAAACACCGGTTAGGACACAACCTTGACAGATCCAGTAAACCAGCCAGGCAAGGTACGAGAGACGTTGAGGAAGGAGGTGGATGTAATTGGTGGCGAGATAGTAGAACAGGAAGGCTATGATCAAGTCATAAACAACGTAGGAGAATGAGTGGAGAACAGATCGACGAAAACAATGGGGTGGTATGGCCTTCTTGATCTCGCCAACTGTGAATGGAGGTTTTGAGTAAGGAACTCGCCGGATGACATCACGGTCTGACTTCTTTCCCTCAGGAGGAACAGACATTCGGCCACCTGCACCCATTGTTCACTAACCTGCAAAAATGATTACGGCAGTGAGCATAATGCAAGTAGTTTATATGAAAAATAAAAAACTTGGGTATGTATGAGTAGGAAATATGTTCTGGTGAAGGACTTCCTGGGCATTTTACAAATTCAATTCCTATTTACTTACACAACCGATCAATATTTCTGCTTGAAGAGTAACAAACAAACACTCTTTAACCCTTGTTGAGTTCAACAGACTAGACTAGTAACATAACTACCCTGTTTTTGATTCTGTACAAATTTGGAAACATAATTATACTAATGAGAATTAGCTGGTAGAGTATCAAATTGCGAATACAGACTGGATATCCTCTAGTATATCGAAGTATAATATAAGAGGGACGAAAATGAAAGTAGGCAAAACCAAGTGATGAAAATTCAGAACATCAAAGTCTCCAAGAATATACTTCAGTGCAAAGAAATCTTAGAACCTAAGAAGCATGAACTCCAAGAATATAGTGACAAGAAATGTTAAAGCCTATGAAACATGAGAAGGACATAAGAATGACAAAATATAGATATGTTAATACTTAATATGGTACATTTATATTCGAAAAAAGTACAATACAAAGATGTATAAACCAAGTGATGAGTCTCTACGAATATACTTCAGTGCAAAGAAATCTTAAAACCTATGAAGCATGAACAGTGACAAGAAATGTTAAAATCTATGAAGCACGAAGAGGACATGGGACAAGATATATAGAGATGTTAATGCACAATATGGAATATTCTAAAAATGTACGATACAAAGATGTATACATATACACACATGAATACCATGAATAATGTGTGTATAAATTAAAAATTGATTTTATCATAACATAATAGTAACAAACTGTGTCTTCATTATGTACAGAGTTTTCTTATGATTATATTATAAATTTGACTTTCTTTAATCTTGCTATTTCCTAATTCATCCACCACACACCAGACAATTTTGTGATATTCTCAATTAACAAAACAGATCTATATATGTGTGTGCGTGCGCGCAACCACCCTCCCTGTTCATTGATTAATTATGTGTTTCTCATTTACTTAGATTATGTGTGAATCTCATGGAAGCTCTTTCCCATGTGCAAACCGCCCTTCACATTCTTTGTTTAATTATGTTTTCTTCTAGAACAAAAAAAGAAAAAAAGAAAAAAAAATAAGTGTTTCTCATTGACACGGATTATGTGTGAATCTCATGGAAGCAATGCTCTTTCTGCACACCAAAGTGGAAACACAGGTGATTCAATATCAAGAAGTCTCAAAACAAATTAAAAGTAGCCATATACTAATAATTTGGTGTATGCAAAATGGTGAAATGGCCAACAAAAAATTAAAAGATAAAGAATAAGAAAACTCCCAACTTGTTCAATTGACTATGCCTACCATGAAATCACCCAAGTTGTTGAATTGACAAATCTATCATGACATCACCGTGCTTCTCACAAGCTCGTGTTTTAATTCAGCTACACAGGTATAAAATAATAATAATAATAATATATGCATGCCGTATCATCTTTGTCTGACTTAAATGATTCTAACAACAATAAATTAAAAGAAAGGGTTCTCATGCAAGGATGTAGCAATCCAAGACAATTAAAAAGAGATGGGCTGAGAGAAACTGTTTAAATCTGACTACTTCGTTTGATCTGATCTGATCAAATCTTGAACTAAAACTTAAATGGTAGATGGCATATGTCTCAGTTTATGCATAAGATGGAGGCGCATGGATGAATACATTAAATAATAAATTTTCAATTTTTTCTAATTCATATGAGTTTTTTCTTTTTTATTATTATTATTATATTATGCAAGTGGATCATGTTTTAAATTTTTTATTTTTAAGTAGGCCTCGTTTGGCAAGTGCCCCTTTTAGTCAAAAAGTTACTAAAAAAATCAAAAAGCCAACAACTCATATAAAAAAGTCAAATATTCTATTTTCTCTCTACTTTTTGCACATCTTTTTGTAAAAAATTAAAAAGTCATCCCAAACATACTAATTTTTTTTACATCACATTTTAGCCAAAAAGTCAAAAAGTTGCTAAAAAAAACTTGTTCCCAAACGAGACCTCAATACTATAGATTTCAAGAGAATGACCAAAAAATTTTTAATCATCTTTTTCGAGTAACATTTTTCATAAACAATTTATAAACTTGTGTATAGTCATTTTCTAATTTAATTTTGTGGTGGTTGCTAAGGTCACAATACATAACATAACAAACACCACTTTTGAAGGAAGACAATACGATGAGGACCAAACATAAGGACGCTGCACCAAAAGGAATAGTGGGACTGTGGGTCAACAAAAGGCTGCATCCAATTAAATGAAATATCACAAATTAATGATTAGTCATCACGCCATGCACTTGATTGGTCGGCTCACCCTTTTTTCATAGGTTACATATATCTTCAATTTGGTGACAACAACATTAATAAGAGAAGGCACCTTTCAAAGAGCATATTTTTTATTTTTTTTTTTCATTTTATGTTCTACTTTTAATTTTTAATTATATTTTAGGCTTTAAAATACAATATATATATATATATATTCAGCATATTCTTAAAAGATAGGTAGGAGAACCAACAAACATATAGTACAAATAAGTAGCCTCTAATAAGATTTGAACTCCCAACTTAACGGGTTTTTAATATTAGGCGCGATTTCATTCTGCATAACTATAAAATTTATGTAAAAAATTCTATTGATATAATGTCATCTATTGAGCTACAACAAGACCCATAGGCAGAGGAAAAGATCATATTCAATGTATAGAGGCATTTTTGGTAAGTACCTACCTAAGTCCAAATATTCAACATCATGAGATGGCCGACTGATTCCACAATACAACACCAGCCTCAATATTAATCAATTAAAGACCAAATTATGGAACGTCACAAACTCACAATCACAGTTTTTCAGATATTTTGATTACTATATATATTTCTACCAATAAAAAAAGAAAGGATTAAATTACAAATATACACTCCTAAAATTTATTTAAAGTATAGATTGTCCCTGTGATTTAAAAAAATTACAAATGCCCCTTGTCAAAAAAATTTATTTAACATATTCTCCTACACAATAATAAAATTACCTAAATTATTAAATGAAATATATTTTTAACATTGTTAAAAACTGTTAATTGACTTGATAATTTATCAATAAAAGTGACGATTTGTTATAAAATTATAAATCTCAAGAGGTGAAATATAATTTTTAAAATTATAAAAAATAATTCATATTTTAATTAAATTTTAAAAAATATATTTATAATTTATTCAAAAAGAAATTAATAAAACCAGCCAACCTAGATAGTGCGTCACAGCTTTTTATAACCCGAAAGCAAACAGACTGATATTCAAAAAGTGGACGCGGAAGGAAACTTCCTCACACTTACCATATGCAAGTCAGCACCTCTTTTTCTAAGCATTTTTTATTAAATTTTTTAACAACTAAACAAAAAATAAATCTCATATGTATTTAGGGATTATTTGAGATATAATCTAAATAAATATACTTTTTAACTTTTTATGAAATATATGTTAAGTTTAGATTGGATTTGAAATGATGTGTTAGAAAAGTAATGTGACTTAAATAAGATAGTGACTTTTTGACTTTTTAACTTTTTTTAAACATGACAAACCAAGCCTTATTATCGTGAGTCAACTATTTTTCTATGTAATGATAAAAGGATGAGTTATATTCCGTATCTACCCTTATCAACCTAAAAATTATTTTAAAAATTATTTAAAATTCTTATTTTGTATTTTAGATTTATTTTATACTTGAATCAAGTCTTACATAAATTAATCTCTACTACACAATCACTCTACTACACAATCACCCACTCGAAATTTTCTAAATAGATTAATGTGAATCCCTAACATATTTGATAAACTATAATACGTAAATATGGTAAGTGATATTAATGTAATAATTGAAAATCCAAACAAATCTCTTTATACTTCTGATATTATTGCATATTTTTTAAAATAAAAAGTATAACCATGTTCTGGATTCTGCACTGGCAAGTGGCAAAGGACCACCCCTATATGGTTTACCCAAAGGACCACTTAGCTCTAGAAACCCAAAATAACAAAACAAAAATCTGTTCCCAATCAATAATTGATTTATTTATAATATGATTCACAATAACAACTTCATAATTTTAAATATAAATTATAAATTTAAATTTATCGAGTCACTTTCTAGATGAAGTCTTTATAACCACAAACAGCTATACAGATTACATTTGGTTTATACTAATGTAATACGTAAATATGGTAAGTGATATTAGAGCAAGGATCCTCTAGAGTGATTTTTCTCTAAAGTTTCCTAGAGTGCTACATTGTGTGGTTGAGATTTACTGACAAGTCACATCAATTTTTCTGATGTGACTTGCCAGTAAATCTCAACCACACAATATAGCACTCTAGGAAACTTTAGGAAAATTTCACTCTAGAGGATCCTTGGTGGTGATATTAATGTAATAATTGAAAATCCAAACAAATTTCCTTATACTTCTGACATTATTGCATTTTTTTGAAATAAAAAGTATAACCATGTTCTGGATTCTGCACTGTAGCAAAGCACCACCCCTATATGGTTTACCCAAAGGACCACTTAGCTCTAGGAACCCAAAATAACAAAACAAAAATCTGTTTCCAATCAATAATTGATTTATTTATAATATGATTCACAATACCAATTTTATAATTTTAAATATAAATTATAAATTTAAATTTATCGAGTCACTTTCTAGATGAAGTCTTTATAACCACAAACAGCTATACAAGGGGTCTAAAGAGACTGCCATCCTAGGATGGAAGAGTCATGAATGCATTAAACAATTTTTTTTAAAACTTTTTGAGAGCGGACATTAATAATATTAGCCTATGTACCAAATTTTTTTAATAAAAAATAAAATTATATATTATATTAAAAAATACATAAAAATTTGAAAGTATAATATAAATTAAACATAGCAGTAGGATGTGGATTCCACTCGCTGTAAATCTGATTTAAATAATTTAAATTTCAGATACTTCTTTAATATCGCTGAAAAGAAAGATGACAGAACAGACGATCAGGAGCAAAAGAGGTATTGAGGCATATTTAAGTGTTGGTTTGGAGGGTCTTAAAAAAGTATATTTTTTATTTTTTTATAAAAAAATGTGTAAAAAAATAAAATAATGATATGATGAAAAAAAAAGATAAAAAGATAAATTATATAGCTTATGCCAAATCAGCCCTAAATATACTAAACAAAACCAAGTATATTTTTATAAAATATTTTAGAGGCGGCACTTTTACAGATCCAAAGCTTAATTAAAAAATTGAAGATTCATCCAATAACAGAAAAGAAACCAAAATACTTTGTTTAAGAAAACTAAAATATGAAGAGAGGCAGAGGGAGATGGCAATGGCATCAAGCAGAATAATTCTCCGTTTGGTAACTAAGAAAACAATGCGAAAAATAAGATTCGAATTTTCGATTAGTGTACCTGAGGAAACTAAATTCTGGGGTCACAACTCGATCAAGAATCAAACAGAAATTGAGTCATTGGCCGAGCAAAGTTAAGCTAAAAAGATTTTATATTTTCTTTTCCACCGCTTTCTCAGCAACCAAACAAAACGTAAAAAGGACACACAAACGAAACTTCACATCAAGTAGCCAGTGAAAATGAACAAAACGTACAACAAAATGATCTAAAAAACAAAACGCATCTCAAAATCACCTACAATCTACGATCAAATTCCAAAACTATAAATTTTTCTCAATTTCAAACATCATAAATCACTGATCCAATTCGCAATCACCCGATTCCATTTTTGAAGGCTTAAATCTGAGCTAAAAATTACTATCTCCACCTAGATCCAGCCTAAACCACACCATTTATGATTTCCTCTAATCGCAACAATGAAATGTGAGTACAAATTTGAAACTCAAAAGCCAAAACAGATCAAATAAATAAATACATTTATACAAATTAGAATATACCTGAAAGAAAGGTTCTTCGAGTTCCTTCACCTCCTGCGATTTTACACCTCTCTCTCTCTCTCTATCTCTATCTATCTCTTTCTCTCTCTATATGTATAGAGATTTTGAGGAGAGAGAGTACGGGGCGTTGAATCGCAGCCGCTGCTCTCCGTTTGAGGCCGGCACAGAGAGTGCGGTATTTAAGCTTGCGGTTCTCAATTTCCCTCCTCTCCGAAATCAATGCTCTGTGGTGTGAGGGAGGGGCCCGCTAACATACGACGCACCAACATCATAGTGATTATGTGGGATCTTTATTCCATACTATTATATTATCGTTTGATATTTGTCCATTGTTCTTTAAAAACTCAACAAAAAATACTAATATCCTAAATGTCAAAATAACTCATTACACTATTCTTTATATTTTTTTTACACGGCTTTATATGAAAAGTTAAAAAATTAATTAAGATTATATACTTTTAATTAACCAATCGATATTAAGTTGAAATATTATATAGCCATGCGTAGAAAAGAATTTCTCCCAACATTAACATAAAATGATTATTCGATGATATTGAAACATTACTGTATGCTATTTATTATTTGATAATTTTCATTCCTAAAAAAAATTAATAAAAAATATTAGATTTTATAATTTTAATCAATTGATATATAATTAAAATACTACATGACATTATATCAAGAGAAAAAAATAATTTCTTTCAATATCAACGTGAAGAGATTATTTAGTGATGAAAAATACTTTTGAGTTTTAATTTTTGAGTTTTAAAACTAATTTTAATGAGTTGGTAGTAGACTCCACTCATTATGATGTGATATTTTAATTTTAATTTATTTTTTTTCTTTATCATATCATTAATATTTTATTAAAATATCAAAATTAATACTTTGAATTATTATTGCTTAATAATTTTAAAACATTACTCCACTTCATTTACGATTTTGGATTGTTTTGGGAAGATGGTAAAAAGTGACTTTTTGGCTTTTAACCAAGCTTTTGGCTTTTTTAGACAAATGATTTGGGAAGTTGGTAAAAAGTGACTTTTGAGACATTATATCAAGAGAAAAAAAATAATTTCTTTCAATATCAACGTGAAGAGATTATTTAGTGATGAAAAATACTTTTGAATTTTAATTTTTGAGTTTTAAAACTAATTTTAATGAGTTGGTAGTAGACTCCACTCATTATGATGTGATATTTTAATTTTAATTTTTTTTTTTTATCATATCATTAATATTTTATTAAAATATTAAAATTAATACTCTGAATTATTATTGCTTAATAATTTTAAAACATTACTCCACTTCATTTACGATTTTGGATTGTTTTGGGAAGATGGTAAAAAGTGACTTTTTGGCTTTTAACCAAGCTTTTGGCTTTTTTAGACAAATGATTTGGGAAGTTGGTAAAAAGTGACTTTTGACTTTTTTGATTAATATTTGTTTATGATGTCAAATCATAATAAAATGACTAAACTACCCCCATTTATGTAAAATATTTACAACTGAACCTATGTAACACATTGTGACCCATGAGGGGTAAAATTGTAATTGCACCGTTGGCTAAAAACCAACTTGCCAAATGAAAAAAAAGCCAAAAAAGCCAACTTTTAACTTTTACCACTAACCAAAAAAAATAACTTTTAGCCAAGTTCCCAAAATAACCCTTAACAATTGTTAAGTTATTTTTCAAAAACACAACCCAAATTTTTTTTTTTAAAATCTCATATAGTATTGAAGTTAGAACATGTCATTTCTTTCTCATCAACATGTCGATTGGATTCTGGGTAAAAGCTAAGGCTTTTTACACGTGTTGACAGATGATTCGCTCTTATACTTGGTTTCCTGACAGAATCGGTACCCAACAATTTGTGGTAAGAAAAAATCGATGACCCATGCGGCTAACGGCATATGCGCGAATCCTAGCCGTTGATTTCTAATGCTTTGTTGTCGTTTTCGTACGGTGGCGATTATACTTGAGTGGATTGAAAAAATCTTGGGGGGGTGCTAGGCGCAATTACCAAACTATCCCCGAGATACTTCTTTGAATTACGAAAAGCGGCATGACACATTCATTCACAATAGAAAAGTTTTAGACCATTAATGGCTCTAATAATATGGTAATGAGTCTTATTTATTGTTACAGTATTTTTATATATATATATTTTTTTTTTCTTTTAAATTATCAATTCACTAGTGATAAAATTAATAATAACAAATTAATAATCTATAACATTGCTCTCATCCACAAAGCCTGCAACTGCAGCAGCTACGGAAGATTTTGGAGATCTCTTTTTCTAACGATCCCTCCATGTTTGCTTATGTAAATTTTTTTTTATTTGGATTTTTTTTATAAATGTACTTTAAGCATTGTTTTCTTGCTTTTTATTTGAAATAATGTTACTTATAATTTTAGATATTAAAAACTAATTTTCAAATGTATGTAAGAATTTATTTGGGTTATAATTTTGGATATTAAAAATTAATTTTCAAATGTATGTAAGAATTTATTTGGGAAGTGGATTGAAAAGTGGATTGATTTTTTTAGCTTTCTGAATTTTTTAATTATTTTAGATTGAGGTTAAAAAGTCTCGTTTGAAATAGATTTTAAATTTTTTTATATTTTTAATTTTTTTGTAAGAAGAATAATATAATGATTATGAATTAAATATGATATTTTATCTTAATAAACTAAAAATCTTATTTTATTTTTTATGACTAAAATATCTTTAAAAAATCCCAAACTTAACTTTTCAAATGATGCCTAAATGAAGTGAGAATTAACAATTTTCTTAACTTTCCCTAAAGTGTGATGATTAACTTGGAGTTTTAAATGATTAGAAAATGCTATTTATTCTAAGGCCTCGTTTGGGAATAGTGTATTTTAATAATTTTTTAGTTTTTTAGTTAAAATATAAAGTAAAAAAATTAGTATGTTTGAGATGATTTTTTAGCTTTTTAGGAAAAGATATATAAAAAGTAGAGAGAAAATAAAATCTTTAACTTTTTAATATATGTTATAACTTTTTAATTTTTTTAATAACTTTTTGACTTTTAAATTAAAACAGTTACTTACCAAACAAGGCTTAAGATACATTTTACAATTTTCTTATGTTAAAAAGTGGCAATAGATTATAAATAGTCTTTTTGTGAGTAATATTCTTTATTTGATTATGATATCATGTGTGACCATAGCATTATATGATTATTTTTATTAAAAAAAAAAATGCCATAGACAACTATATTTTTCAAAGGTCTAAAATTCAAAATGTGACTTTAGCCTCTTTTGAGAAATAAATTAAAATCCATTCATTAACTTTTAATTCATTTTGAATCATAGTATCTCTCGAATTTTTTATACGTTTTTCAAAAAAAAATTAAAAAATTAACTTTTAATCATCTTTCTAAAAACACTCCTTTGAGACATTTTAAATTTTACTAAATTGACAAAATAATATCCACTTTTTCGGTATGCCTCCTTGTAAATAATTGAAATGAACTATCCCAATTTTTATGCCAAATAAAGAGAGTTCAAATTCTACTTTAAAAAAAAAAAATTACACTTATTATACGAGCACGAAATTATCTTCTCGTATAATTCTATTGATCAAGTCTGTATTCCTCCAAACGTCATCGCTTTATTCCCTGAAAACACAAACACGAGCTAGCCAGTGGGTGTGTGCCAGATACCTCTCCGATGCCTAAGTTAGAAAAATAGGCAAAAGCTTTGTGTATTCAAGAATCAAAGTTGTGTTACATCTACATAGATTCTGTTGTGAGCTTTTATGGTTTTTGCCTGGCACAATCCTAGTAGGACTCTTATTCCTCCATGTAGAGTCCTTTTAGGAATCATACTCCTGAAAGATAATGCTTATCCTTGAATACCTCCCTCACTGCTTAAACCAAATGAGATGGTTTTACTATGGTTGGATGACAGTACGACCGAGCTAACACTTGCCTTTTGTCATACTTAATCCAACGTCTTCACTTGCAATTCATAGCTCGGCTCTTGTTCTCTCGTACCTCGATTTTGTCCGTTGAAACCGAGCTCACTACAGCAAGCTCTGACCGCGCTAACCAAAGCAAGGTCCACCATAAGAAGCCATAATACCTCGGTTCCAAACACCGGCCGAACTAATTACCACTCCAACCGGGGTGACTGAGCTAACTACAAGGCCCTTTTTGGACCGAGCTAACTACCAGGCCCTTTTACTTAGCTTTTTTTACTGCGGCCCACAGAACGGCCCATTACCACGCTTTGGCCTAGTTCGGGCTAATGCACATAAAAACTCCCTCTCAATTGTCCCTTAATTCCATCTGCGTAGCATGATTGGGATTACCTGTTACCAGCCAAGCTAAAACTTTAGCCTTTCAACTGAGCTAGATTGTCACCGGGCTACCGATTTGCCCAGTCAAAAAACGTCTCTTCAGTCATGTTGTGCTTCTGAATCACTTGCTATTCTTATAAAGACGTGGCAGGCCCCTATTGGTTGAGTACAACTGTTGACGCCGACTTCATATCTCGCGAATTTTGAACAGTTTCGCCTTTTTCATTCTCTTTACACAAAAACCACACGTTTTGAACCAACCATTTCTACTATTCATCTTCTCTCTCTCGTTCGTTTGACCCTCTGAATCTCCATTCTTGCAACCCTAGCACCTACCAAGCTTGTGTTTTTGCTGATATTGTCTCCATCTTCAGTTCCTTCATTTTGAACTGGTATGTGGCTCAAACCAATTTCCTTTCCGTTTATTTCACACTGTTTTGTAATACATAGCATAGTATGTATGTTTCTCAAAACACTTTGTAGTTTCCATGGGAAATGACTACTTTATTCCAAGAACTATGTAATAGATCCACTGGATTTATAACCAATCTGAGAAATAACGCTTTTGATCCTTCTTGCAACCCTAGCACCTACCAAGCTTGTGTTTTTGCTGATATTGTCTCCATCTTCAGTTCCTTCATTTTGAACTGGTATGTGGCTCAAACCAATTTCCTTTCTGTTTATTTCACACTGTTTTGTAATACATAGCATAGTATGTATGTTTCTCAAAACACTTTGTAGTTTCCATGGGAAATGACCACTTTATTCCAAGAACTATGTAATAGATCCACTGGATTTATAACCAATCTGCGAAATAACGCTTTTGATCCAAAATAATATTTCAACCGAACTAGGAACCTGTTTGTACTTAAGGTGTGCATTCAACCGAACTAGATTAAGTTTCAATA